ATTCAATGTAAACATTTTATTATTACAATATTCTAACTAATTTCAATTTTCTAACTAATTTCAAAGTTTTGTTCAGCAGTGTTTTTATGTCTTTAATATGTCTGTATGTATATATTTCATTTAAAAAATATAACATATTACATATTGCATAGTAATACATTGTACCTGTCATATTCAAGTTCCTTCTGTCAATGAGCTCCCTTGATATTCCCAGGTAAATGCACTAGGTTACCAGAATCTCAACTAGCTGAAGCAGATTAGACTAGAGATAAGCACTTCAAAGAGAGTCACAAATGTCTATGGCCCCCAAAAGTATAATAATTATGTTTCATTCTAGAAAAGAGGAATAGAGGAATACTATGCTGAGAACACAGCAGCTAGTATTGGGTAAAAATGCAAGAATACAAAGAAAAACTCATGCAGATAGGGAGTTCAGCTGCTTTGATGGTCAACACTTTAGTGAAATCAGAGAACTGTGCCTACTGAGGTCCCTGGAGTGGATTAGATCCTGATTCTGCAACAATAGGATCTGATCAAATGAATAATTCTTATTCATAGACTGAAGTGTGAAGCCAGCCCACTGTTTTGATCCTTACAATAAATTACCATTTTCCCAATAGTCACTGCTTCAAAAGCAAACATCAAAGCAAATTTTAATGACCTATTTTGAGTCTGATACATCTGAATATATATGATATGTATCTGAATAAACATCCACCTACTCAAAAGATATATAGAAGAAAAAAAGGAGCAACTTTAAAGGGATGAGTGCATTTCCCAAATAGCAAAAAGTGAAGCATAGGAGACCCTGCGAATCTTATTAGAAGATTGAACGATGCACGCATGCACACATATACACACCCACAAACACAAACATAATGCTAACATGGTCTTCATATCTGCTAATTTTGACCATATCAACAAATGTCATCAAATGTAACTAAAACTCTACCTAACTTTCTTTAATTTGGTCCACATGATACCAAGTAGTTGAGAATGGAGAATCAATCACATAGACTTTATTATTTGTATATGCAATCAGTAAGTACCTCTCTCAAAGATTCTCTTTGACTCAACACATTATTCAAACGTTATTTTGTAAAATATTAAATAATCATACAAAGACCTCTACATTGAGTAGACATTCCCCATTTTTGAAGCTAGTTATTATTTATTTTTGCTTCTGTTTTCTTTTTCCCTATTCCTGAATAAAAGCTCTAGCAATTATGCTTACTTTTAAATGATATACTAGTGAGCGATTCAAATGTTTAGTATCATTTAGTAGTAAATGTTGAATGTGCCTCTGCTTTTGGCTATCTCCTGATTGTAAACCCTGGAGTCAATGATAGAATAGTAGTCAAAGCTTCTTCTATGCTTTTAAAAGGTGACAACTTTGGATTTTAAAATGTGACAACTCCTATCAAAACCAGATACTATAAAAATGTTAAAGTATCACCATCAAAGTCTTACTTCCAGCTGAGACATGAAGATAATTAATAACACATTTCTAAGACCAGTATGGAGAACTCAAAAAAAAAAAAGATACCATAAACCCAGATACCATCTCCCACTTGTATCTTATGAGAGTTTGGATTAGCTGTCATAGAATAATGGAGAAGAAAAGGGTTTTGGAGAGAACTGTCAGGGTGCTCTAAGTGCTGTTTTTATACATCTTCCCTAAGAATTTCTGAAACCTCCAGGGTTGAAACAGAACRAAAGAGAATAGGTAATGGGGAGCCAAAGTTTCTGGAAGATTCTGTTCTGTTTGTTTTTATGTGGTGTCCATCAAATCCAAGTCCCTTTACATGCTAAGCAAGTGCTATACCACTGAGTCATGTCTCCGCCCAAGTTTCTGCTCCTCCTTAACCAATACTCTCTGAGCTAGTGTGGTATTTCTGATTGTAGTGGGAGTTCTCAGCTAAGCTTTTCTCTTGTGCATGATTTTTAGGTTCTTTGGAGACCCATCCATTGTACAAGTGGAATCCTCTCACCTTCCTTTAACATGAGCAATACACTCCTTCATTTCCTAGCTTACACTTTCCACAATGCCCAGTCACCCAGACATCTAAAAATAACTCTAGCTTCTTCCCTCTGAATGCTTGTTTTTCTCTTCTTTTGCATTTTTAGCAGCAACTAATCAGTCCTTCTTTTACTACTTAGATTTCTCAGGTGGGAGTTATACTCTGCATGAGACAAGATACATTCTTCCACATAGTTTTGTTGAACTCTTTTTCTACCAGATTTGAGGTTACCTTCTTGAGAACAGATGGGGACCTACAGCACCCCAACAGTTCTCTCCAAAACCCTTTTCTCCTTCTCTACTCTCCTATGACTTAGTTTATCCAAACTCTCATAAGCTGCAAAAGGCAGATCATCTATGGATTTATTCTTTTTTTTTTCAAGTTCTCCATACTGTTCTTAAAAATGTAGTATTGATTGTCCTCATGCCTCAGCTAGAAGTGAGACAATAACGGGGACATTTTAACATTTTTATAATATCTGGTTTTGATAGGAGTTATTAGTTTAAAAAATTATAACAGCATTTTCTCTGTGTAATTATAATATAATTTAAAATATAATAAAATGTAAATAAATATTATATTCACAGTGTAATATCTGAATATAATCATAATCAAAAAATCCAAATAGTAAGGCAGTTTTTCAAATTACATAATATAATTGAACAATTAAACACAGATATGTTTGTGCTATTTCCCCCCTTAAAAACTACTTAATCAATGTCTGACAGAATATGGGGTCTGATAATGCACAAAACAAGCTTGATACATTTTCTCATGGAGTCTACAACATAATATTTTATATTGCAAAATTGTTAGAATATTGCACAAGATCCAACATATCCTTAGAGGTTGAACAGGAATGAAGAACCAATAGGAGAGATAGAAATTCCTTCCCAAAATATTAAGCCAAGAGGAATGCAAGATTTATCACAGGATGATGGAAAATAACAGCAGGAATCTATAGTGTACAGAGTTAAGGCTAAGATTACTTATAAAAACAGGTACTCATCATAAGGCATGTAGTTAGAAGGGTTTTCGAGGGAAAAGTTATCTTTGAGGAGATATTATTCAGAGAAAGTCATTGTAAACATATTTGTAATGAAAATATTAAGGTTTATAGAAAAAGTCTGTTATGTTATAAAGAAAAAAAAAACTATGACTATTTGATGGAGAAAATATTGAATCTGTGTCCAACCATGAAATATTATCTGGGACAATAAATTCTTTGGTCATATATTTGTAGTTAGTTTTAAAACATATGTCATTTGGTTGATTTCATTGTGTAATATGGGAATATAAACATTACTCTTCTTCAACTTCCACTCTGAGAAAAATAATAAATATTTCTATTTAATCATATATTTTAAATTTTAAAATTAGCTACTCATTTGCAAAGAAGATGGAATTGAGCTATTAAATATGTTTACAATGCCTCAAAAATTAAAACAAACAAGACAAAGAAAGCCAAGTTGGGTGGGGGGATGGGTATGTAGCCTACTTGGTAAACAAAAGGCATACCTTTAATTTCATCACGGACTTAAAACTATAGATTTGACTTTAAACTTAAGAAAAGCCAAAAAAAAAGAGGGAAGTAGGCTGTATTATAAGATCATTTAGCCTACAAATATAAACTAAAAAGTGACTAAGGAAAAAATGTAATTATTTTTACTATTAAAAATAAACTAATCCCATGGACCCTTTTCCAGGAAACACTTTTGTGATACAGAATGGGTATCCATGCTGAAGTTAAGGTAAACGCAATTTTATAAGTTTCTTATGCTTTCTTTGCATTTTTTTTTTTTTTTTTTTTTTTAGTTTTTAGTTTTCAGCGGACACAACATCTTTGTATGTGGTGCTGAGGATCGAACCCAGGCCACACGCATGCCAGCCAAGCGCGCTACCGCTTGAGCCACATCCCCAGCCCTGCATTTTTTTTTTTTTTAAATAACATCCTTGAAACACTGAGATCTATTTGTGAAAGACCCTTTGCCCTTCCCCTGTCCAGCCTGTATCCCAGGGGGCTGATCTCTATAGGATGAGCTACCAGGCTCTGAGTCAGCCTCCTGCTCCGATCAGTCAATGGGACAACTGTTAAGACCCTGAGCAGCAAAAGGAAAGGATATGCCATGGCTTTTCTTGACTTCTCTCTTTAGTATTGTCTCTACCTGAGGCTATATATCCTCTATACTAGTATATGAAGGAAGTGCCAGCTCTACCAGTTCCTCCAGCCATGGTTTAAAAATGGCTTCATTTCTGGKCTGTGTCAGTATCCCGTGTGCTATTTTTCATTTTTCATCACTGATGGAATTATATCCATACTTTAAATATCCTTTAATTAAAATATTCAAGGAGTTTTTTGTTATGATGGTTGAATCATGACTGATACAATAATCCATTATATGGCAATGGGATATCTTTTGACTCAATCCAATATAAACAATTTCATGTTGTGGAATAACAGGGAAAATATTATTATCTGCATATTATATTTCCAATGATGCTTAAGCAACAGAGAATAGGAGACATAGAAGTATGTAGGAAACACATTCTCTCACCAGTCACACATTATTTTCAGGTAGAAGATTAGAATTCATCAACATCAATACCCCTGATACTTCAGTACATGAATTAAACAATGCATCTTCAGTGGACAAGATTCCCCAAAATGCACACCAACTTGGCCTAACTGGACTTCCCAAAAAGAGAAAAAAATGCTTTGGCTAGAGTCTTTTAGTCCCCATGGTAGTTATGATCCTTATTATCAATTCATGAAACAGCATCATAAATTTGTATTACAGTACCATAAGTCTGAAAATGGGTCACCCTCTACAAAGTTTCTTTTCTGGATATGCTAACAAGTTATGTTTCTCAGTTTGTAAAACTGACTTAAATCATGGCAAGACTGCCAGTGCAATATCCCTTGTGGGACATCTTTCCCAGGGATTGCATCCCACCAAAATCCATTTCTTTGACACCTACCTGAAAGACTTCTTAATATCTTCTGCTTGGATTGTCTTGAGAATCTCTTGGTATAACTGAGGATCGACTGTTCCTGAGGTTGTGGCATCTGAAGGGCAATTTGTATGTGCATAATAACCTATCAAAATTCCAAAAATAAATAATATGGTGGCTGTGCAAAGTATTTTTAAAATGTGGCAGCGGTTGCTCTTTGGTGCAGATCTTCCATAATGGGCAACATAGTCAGATTCTTCCTGAAGTCTCTGGAACCTTCCTTTGGGTGAAGTTGCTGGTTGAATGGAATCAAGATTGAGGTCCGCAGTTTCTGAGTGCCCAAGGTTCTGATTCTCTGCAGTCTCTAGCTGAAACTGGTCAAAACCAGGTTCTTCCAGTTCCTTCTCCATGTCCCACTCTAAATCAAGGGCAGTGGCTTGAAGGTCATCATTGTCTAAGTACTGTGAGTGTCCTGAAGCTCTTTGATCTGCATTGACCTTCTGATATGCCATCTTTTTATCTGTGAAAATAAGAAATATATTTTCTTAAAATAAGAAAGCAATTTTTAAAACATTTACAAGGTGGAAAAAAAAGAAGAAACTCAATAAAACTTATTGGTATCCACAAAATTTTAGTGACCATAATAGAGGGGAAAAATTTTCCTTATAGAAATTCATATTTGAGAGAACTGTTTTATTATGTATTGTTGTTAACATCCATATAGGAAAGGAAAATTTTAAAAATGAAAGCAGAAGCTTCTTGGTGGAGAGGACATCAGAAAATATTTTTAAAATTACATACTTATACACATACACAATTAACCTTTGAAATTCAGCAGAATAACAGAAGTCACAATGTACAACTGCACTGGAGGATAATTATTACAATGACGGCAAAATTAAACTTACACATTTCAAAACAACTTTAAAAAATTAAAGGTCAAAACCAATAAAGTGGTAACTTGTCTTAGGAGGAAAAAGTATAAAAGATGTTAGGATGATTACATTATCACAGCTGGTTTCAGAACCACAAATCTCAGATAAAAATACCTTCTTCAACAACTAAGGAGTACCAGCTCTACAAAAATAAAAGAAGCAGCCAGGCATGGTGGCATACACCCATATCTCAGCTCTTCTGCAGACTAAGAAAGGAAGATGCTGAGTTTGAGGCCAGCCTGGACATAATATGTATGTGCATAATAATTTAGCAAGTGCCTGTCTCAAAATAAAATTTAAAAAGGGCTAGGGATGTCGTTCAGTGGTAGAGCTCTTGCTTAGCATGTGTGAGGCCCTGAGTTCCAATACCAGACCCAAAACCAAAATAAAACAAACTAACAACAACAACAACAAAAATACTTAAGAAGCAAAATATAATGTATTACATAGTCACAAACTACTAAAAGGAGTGGAAACTTTTCCGGCTACGAGGGAGCACTAAGATGTCCCAAGGAATTAGTGACATGAATTAGCCTGGCTCTGTGAATATTAAATAAAAATCCAGTGTGGCAACAATCCAAAGTGGGAAGTCTTTTGCCAGCCTAGGAGAGTCTGATTTTATAACCTTACTACAGGAGTTGCAGATGGAGGTATTTTTCCCTTACACATTTTTGGATGACAGTTTGCTGAATCTTACAGAGTGATATTAGGATAACGGGGCTAATTAACTGCAAGTGGTCTTAAGTCTCTATTCAATAACCCACTGGTGTATTATTGTTGCAGATTAAGAGCACTTATACTTAAATTTTCTCTGATAATACCAATATTAGATTTAGTATTAGATTTGTCACCCCAGCTGGACTCTAAGGTCCCTCACTATATTTCATGATTTTTCAACATATGACACTGTGGTGGACAAAGAACAGAGCTCAACTGATAATTGATTATCTAATTGCCTTAGAGCTAGTGATTGACAAGTGATCTCTAATGTGAAAGATGGAAACAAAGACTTCATCAGAGAAAGTGGCATTATGTACAGAATTATGGCTATACATAGTGCCAATTCTGGCAAATGGAGTCCCATATAATTCAAATGTTCTAAATTTCTAAGTTCAAAAACCAGTTAATAAATTTTGCAAAAGGAAATAATTGTACTTCTGACTAGAATTTTCAAATGCTACTATATATATATATATATATATATATATATATATATATGTTTTTCTTTGGCTTGTTTTTTTCCTCACCAGGTATGGTACCTATGGCCTCCGCACCCACTAGCTAGTGCTCTACCACAGAACGACATCCCTAGCCCCTGACTCCAGAAAGATCTGTATTTGAATTCCATGTTCTTTCATGTCAGGACAAGCAGAGAAAGAGAATAATGCATGGATTTAGGGATAGTTATTCAAATAGGTTAAGTGATGGTTGATCGTAGAGAAAGAAACCAACTGATACTTCATTTAAAGAAACTTTTAACAGAAAATACTATTTGGAGGTGGTAGAATAAAGGATTTCTAAAATCTATGATTTCAACTCTATTTTGTTGCAAAAGAGGAAAGAGATTCAAAATTTAATAGCTCTATTAGGATAAGACTGAGGAAAGTAATGCTTGGATACATACTTCTTAATGTGACTTCTGGTTTTATAAAAATATGACTGCAAAGTTAGTAGTAAACTAATGTTAAATACATATGAACCAATTAATTTTAACATGTTTTAAAAACTTCAATTTCCTTCACTACGGATAAAAAACTTAGCCTAAATATCAATAAATTTGCTACTGTCTTGGCATGATGCAATACTTACATTTTTAAACTTTCAGCTTATGTATTATTGATTAATTTACTCAGATATTATCTCAACATAGTTATACAGAAGTCACTCTCTCTAAAGGCTTTTCTAAAACAAACAAACAAACAAACCTGAACCATAGCGAATGGTTTATGCTCAAGTAAGACATAGTATATGCAATTTGTAAAGAAATGTGAGATTTCTAAATCTGACCTCCAATGCACATATTCAAAGTCATTTCTCAACAAATCATTTTAAAACCAGTTGCGATGAAGAGGCAGAGTTTTCATATCTAGCTTGACAATAGGCATTTCATCACATGTACATCAGCAATTTAACGCTTTTCAAACATCAGACAGAGCCATCAATTAGAATGTAATGCAGATACAGATATTAACTCCTCACCATGATGGATATCTGCCTGACACCCTTACTACCACTTCTGGACTCATTACACATTAATAAATCTTTAATGTATTCTATATTCCAGGAGAGCACTATCTGGGTCAAAGGTAGATGAAGTCATTTGATGGTACAAAATCTAAAGTATTTCAGGAAATTATTGCCAAGGAAATTAGTATATGATAATGTATGCAATAAAGAATTTCGATCATTTACTTGGCAAAAAACAATTCAATATATTGTATTATATCATTTAAATATGTGTACATGAAATTTATAAATATATATGTAAGTACAGATGTGTAAATATGTTACTATGTATAAATGTAGATGGTATAATATATATTACACCTTAGTAGACTGCTTCTTTAACATTTTCTTCTCTTATGAAAAATATTATAGACTTCTTGCAAAACTCTAACTCACATATATTTACCCCAATAGATTGGTTTTACATTTATTATACATATATAATAAACCAATCACAAACAAAATGTGTACTAAACTACCAAATAAATAAAATTTTTGTGATAATTTCAAGTTGTTTGTTTGTTTGTTTTGCAGTGGTGTGAATCAAATCCATTGATATATTCAATTCTGAAACATAAATTATCCCATGGGTCCCACAAAGAATGTATCATCTTTATAATACCTATGGCTTGTGAGAAAAGTAAATGATATATCACATTTCTTTGAACCAGAACTCTCAAATTCCCAAGCAAAATTAAAATGTTATAAAGATAGATATATATTCAATATTTCTTAGATACAATCATATAATTATGTCATTCAAACTTCATATTTTTCCCTTACTGATGTACATGATTTATTTAGTTTAAATTGTCATATTATTATAAGGCTTGTGAGTGATTAAAAACAATACATGTAGCAGATTTTAGAAAACACACACACACACATAGTATATAAATCTTTCTCCAAAAAGATGTACTGTGACATTTATTCTAATGGAAATATATATAACATCCTGACTTTCTATATTGTGACACTTGGTCTTTTTTAAATAATCTAATTTTTGTGAAAAAATAATATATTCTCCCAGTTTCCAACAGATTTATTCTCTTAGATAAGAATTCTACCCACACAGGGCCACACTGAAGGCTAAACTGTTTTTACAATTTAATATATTAAAATATTTACCTTTTATATACAATTATACCTCTAAAAGGAAAAATAAAGCAGATACAAGTTTAACTAAAATGTATTTTTCTAGACTGTGTCTGGTTTAGACGAATAAAAATGAATTTGCACCAATACAACACATATTATTCATTTAAAAAAATTGATGCTGCTTAACACTACTTTCTTCACACATTCTAAATAAATGAAACTACATAAATTACATGGAAATAAAGGAAAATATACTAAGAGACTGAAATTTTTATATGTAAAATAAGATCTAGTCTAACTTAGTGGCTGGCAAGTATTTTATATAATAAATATATCCTCAATAAAAATTGTATTTAATAAGTTAAATATTACTAATGCTTCTTAGGGATATGATTGTAGCTCTAGTTCTTTCTTGATCATCAATTATGAGGAAATTTACTACATGAATGCTCTGACTTTATAAATTTCCAAATTAGTAGACTTTATAATGAAACTACTTAGTTCAAATCCTAGTTCTGCTATGTAATTTGGACCATCTAGTGAATATTGTTACGCTTAAAATCCACATTTGTAAAATATAAATGATAATATCACCAGATCTATGAGTTATAATGAAAAATAAATTAAAATATGTAAAATGCTCTAAATAAGATCTAGCACATTGTAAGCTATCCACTAATAAAGGGTCACTCCAGAAATTCCAAAAAGTCAATGAAGACAGGAATATTTGAAGCATATGTCTTTAAAATACAGTTAAGTTAAAATAAGTTAAAGCATGACCAGAAATTTAAGTTTTAACAACTAAGACCTGAAGGTAATGAGGAATGAGTTGTATACCAAATGCTTTTGAGYATGGGGAACATTCTTTTAATCATTATCTATGGTTCAGATGGATAAAGAGAGATGTTTGGTGAATATTTATAATTAAAGTCATTAAATTTGGTTTGCAACAACCAATTCTGTGTCTTGTGATTACAGAGCTGAGTTTCTTTTTATTATCTTTATAAAAAGAAAAAAATGGAGATTTTCTAAAACACTCAACAATTCCTTTTCATAATTCCAGGATTTAGTGATATGCAGTTATGAAAACAAATTATACAAGTAATTCTGTTATAGAACACCATGTTTGTCATAAATGGTTGACTTGTTCCACTGGCTAAAATGTTATTGATAGTATTTTAACTTAAACAGCATAAAAGACTATGTAGATCTTATTAGAATTCAGAAAATATCTCAAGGCTTTTCTGCTTGTAAAAGTTAT